TGTGGGCACCCTGTAATCCCATAGCAGATACCACCTCAGGACAGGAAGTCTGGGGTGGAGACCAGGAGAGAACATGGGGTCCCGGGAATGGCTGGGCTCCCTCCCCACATATTCTCCACCCCCCAGGAGCCAAATCCCTTCTCATCAGAACTGGTTTTGTGACCCTGTTGCTGTGCTTGATCTGATTTAGTTCTGTGGCTGCAGCAGCAGGTGCAGGTGGGAGCTGAGGCCGTTCTGCACGGGAGGAAGGTGGCTGGCTGCTTTGTAGAACAAGGGTTTGTGGGCAGCCTAGGCCCTGACCCCCATGGGCACATAGTTTCTGGGGTACATTCTGAATTCCAGGAAATGAGTACCCCAGAGGACCCCTGGTGGGCCAGGGTGTATGTCCCCCGATCATGACCGTGTCCTGTTTTGCATGCAGGGAGAGCCGGGAGAGCCAGGGCTGCCTGGCGAGGTGGGCATGCGGGTAAGTGTCTCTGGGGACAAGCCTGTGTTCAGGACTCAGTTGTTTTCCATGTAGGGGAAGTACCTCACGGGCTCGCTCCCTGCCCTTCCCATGCAGCTGTTGCCGTGCTTGTGTGTGTAGTGTGTATGTACACACATGATTTCTCCTGAAGTCTCTTAAAAATGAGATTGTCCAGTACTCTGCCATGTGTCATTTTCATTTAACAAGAGATCTGAGGCATCTCTGCGCCTCAGTACAGATGGAGCCAGCTCATTCTCTGAGGAGCTCTGGTGGCACCGAGGTTAAGCGCTTCGGTGCTTACCGCAAGGTTGGCAGTTCAAACCCACCAGCTGCTCTGTGGGAGACAGATGAGGCAGTCTGCTGCTGTAAAGATTGACAGCCATGGAAACCCTATGAGGTGCTGTTCTCTAGGGGCGCTATGAGTCAGAATTGACTGGAGGGCAGTGGGTTTTAGCTCCTTCTCTCGATAACTGCATGGTATTCCATGATGTGAATGCATCATAATTTATATATCCTGTGCTCTGTTTGTGGCCCTGACAGTGGTCTCTGATTGGTTTTTCATTAAAACCAAGAAGGCCGTAATGCACATGTGTACGTGTGTGCATGCATGTGTGTGCTCTCTCTTTGTATTGCGTGTTTATTTCAGTAGGATGGATTCCAAAACCTGGGCTACTCTTGTCTGAAGGAGCATTTTTGTTTTAACAGTCGTTAGTGGGTATCATCACGTTATTTCAGATACTGATAGATGCCGCCAAAATATTTCAGTGGATGGAATAGACATCTGCAAATTGTTTTACCAAAGAAGGAAACTCAATGCCATTGAGTCAATTCTGGCCTCCAGGCACCGTTAATACCAGCACCAGTTGCTGTCAAATTATCTACCCCCCGTGTGTCAGAGTAGATATAGAGTTTTCAATGATTGATTTTCAGTAGATTAGCAGGCCTTTAATCTAAGGTGCCTCTGAGTAGACTTGAACCTTCAGCGTTTTGGTTAGCAGCCCAGTGCATTAACCATTCCCACCCAGGGACTCCTGTCATTAATGAATGTAACCAAATTATTGTAGTAGCCATTAGGGAAAGCCTGTGTACATGGCGTGGGCAGCATATGGTGGAGGCAAGAGGCAGCAAATCTTTTCCCTGAACACGGCACTGAGTGAGCGCCCCTCTGATCTTGTGCTTTCCTTTGTGAACCCTCTCCTGCAGGGGCCCGGAGGACCGTCTGGACTTCCCGGACCCCCTGGACACGTGGGAGCCCCTGTAAGTCACGCACTTGCCTGGGGCAGGGGGTGCTCCCTTCCACAGGACTCGGAGCCGGGCCCTATGAAAACCCAGCAGCCACGTGTGAGGGTGCTCCCTTGTCAGACGTGATGACAATGACTTGCCAGTCTCTTCCTGTGAGAACCAGGCATTCTTCAACCCATAATCCTCAAGAATCACCCAGCAGCAAGTTGAAAATGCACATCCCTCGGCCATTCCCGAGAACGCAGCCCCAGGGTTGGAAGGTTCCCAGAAACCTGCATTTCTACCACAGGCATCTCTGACACTTGGTCCAAAGAATATTTTTTACCACCATTCCCTGGAAGCGGCCAGATGAGCTTAGGAGCCAGGGTGTGTCTCAGTCTGGGGCAGCGGGGACCTGGCTAATCCCAGCCAGGGGACCAGCCCTCAGTGCTCACCCCTTAGGGAAGTGACCTTGGCAGTACCAGTGGGAAGGGTGCAGGTCCGCTGTGTGGTTTGCCTGAATGGACGGGCTCTTTCCCAGCACCCAGCCCTCGCCCTGGCCCAGAGGCGGCCAGGCAGCCTCCCCACAGGCTCTCGGCTCAGCTCTTGGATGGTGAGAATAAAGAAGCCTGCCTGACACCTTGTCACTGCTCTTTTGTCCCCAGGGTCTCCAAGGAGAGCGAGGTGAAAAGGGCACCCGAGGAGAAAAGGTATTTACATAGTTCTCTTAGTCATCAGTACCTGCTTGTGTGGGTGCACGTGCGTGTGTGAGTGTGTATGTATGTGAGTGTATGCAGGCATGTGTGAGTGTATGCAGGCATGTTTGTGTTTATGCAGGTGTGTGCAGGTGTATCACTGTGTGCGTGCAGGTGTATCACTGTGTGCGTGCAGGTGTGCGCATAGGGGGGCAGGGGGGCCTGTGCAGACAAGGTGTTAGTTTCCCACCCTAAACATCAATTTGGTGCCAGGAAGGCTGTAGTCTCTTACCTGCAGGACCCTGAAGTCCTCTCCACAAAGGCTCAGGGTTTCCAGACCAAGGAGAGAGGGTTTGCAAGGCCCTGGACTAGCACTCAAAGGCTCCCAGTGGCTGCTGCGGACCCCCCCCTGACTTGGACAGCCATGTGTGATCCACATGGCCTCTCCACTCCTCAGCTTCCCTGACTCTCAAACGAGAGGGAGCCCATGGAGACACTTGTGCCCCCAAGCCGGAGGCGCTCTGCTCACCTGTGGTGTTAGTGAGCTGCACCTGAGTGTCACTCACCAAGGGGTGTGGGCAGCCACGTGTGCCGCAGCCAGCAACTGTGGACAGCTGGAGCCACTAGCATTTGAGTAGGGAAGGTCCTCCATTCCTTCACAACCATGCTGCCAGGTTGTGA